GAATGGATAAACAAACTATGGTACCTACACACAATGGAATACTATGCAACAGTGAAGAAAAATTTAGAATCTGCAAAACACCACATAACATGGATGAACTTGGAGGACACTATGCTAAGTGAAATAAGTCAATCACATGAGGACAAACACAGTTTTAGTTATTATTGTAAAAAGTTAAGAGAAGGTTATATATGGAAGGAAACTTTCTTTGTTGATTATCAGGGGTGGGAGGGGAGGGGAGGGAACAACAACAACAACAAAAATACATTGACCCATGTCACTTTAGGTATGTGTATTTCACTATACATAAATTATATTTAAATAAAATGTATTTTTAAAAAAACACTGAAACACTGAGGAGCTGTTAACATCTACATAGCTGGAGGTGCAGGTGTGGTTATAGATATCTACAGAAAGCTGCTCTGTCCTCTGGTTAAGGAGAACAGCTACCCATAGAAACCAAGAAGAGAAGGATCTGGGAAAGTAATACCCAAAACTTTCTCTCTTCCTGCTCTCCAATTCCTGCCAGGGTCTCCCACTGGTCAAACCCAACTGGAAGTCAAAAGGCAGAACCCATCGATGTGATCTATACATGTTGGTCTCCCGGGGAACAGAGCTCAGTGGAGAAGGTTGGACCTGGATAGACAAATGGAAGATGCAGCATTTTAAGCTCAGGTCACATTTTCCTGGAGAATCTTGTGATGGTAGCCCCATTATCAATGTTTAATTTGTTCCTTTTCCTACTTCTTTATACTTAAGGTTTAAGGAGCTCTGGTAGTTCTATGGTAAGGCATTCAGCTACTAACCAAAAGATCAGTGGTTTAAACTGACAAGTTGATCCACAAAAGAAAGGTGTGGTGGTCTACTTCCATAATACAGCCTTGGAAACCCCATAGCTGTCACTATGAGTTGGAATTGACTTGGTAGCTGTGGGTTATACTTAAGGTTTAAGTTAGGCTATTAACTTCCTTCTTTTTAAAATAGGCATTTAGAGCTATGAATTTCCCTTAGAGCACTGCTTTTGCTGCATCTCAAAACTTTTGCTATGCTGTTTTCATTTTCATTTACCTCAAAGTATTTTTCAATTTCACGTGTAATTTCTCCTTTGACTCACTGGCTGTTTAAGAGTAAAGCACATGGTTTAAGAGTGTGCTGTTTTCACATATATGTGAAGTTTCCACTTTTCTTCTTCTTGTTGATCTCTCATTTCATTCCATTGTGACTGGAGAAGATCCTTT